CCAAAATTCCTTTCGATTAAATCGACTCAAACTTTCCATGTATTTGTATAAGTAAACACTCCCGCTGTGATTTGTACTCCCACTCTCATTGTCTACCTTGTAAAACCTTCCTACAATTAGGGCCAAAACCAAAATCCCCTCTCGATTCCTCCAATGAACGAGAGGTCCACAAATCGATCGATCAAACCTTCCTACAGTTAGGATCATCTCAAACCTCCCATTCGGTCAAACCTTCCTACAGTTAGGGCCACAATCAAAATCCCCTCTCGATTCGTCTAATGAATGAGAGGTCCACTTTCAAATCGAGTGATCAAACCTTCCTACAGTTAGGATCACCTTAAACTCCCGTTTGGTCAAACCTTCCTATAGTTAGGGCTAAAATCATAATTCACCCTCGATAAACGAGAAACTCACCTTTAGTTCGGTAATCAAACCTTCTGACGGTTAGGATTATCCGAATCTTTTCGATTCTCGGAGTGGAGATCTCACTCTTAGTTTCACCTTCCTGGATTCTGAAAGTGGAGACCCCACTTTGAGTTTCCATTGGTAACTGGAGATAGAATATAAAATTCTTCCTCTTTAGCTTTGGAAGATAGAATATAAAATTCTTCCTCTCCCGCATCGGGTTCGTCTTTGCCCCAGGAGAAGACACCATTTTTTCAAATTACTAAAATCCGTGTCTTACACGCGCGGGAAATTTTACCCCGAATCCTGAGTAGGGATAAGTCAACGCCTAACATGTGTTGTCGGTTAGTTCTTATCCGTAAAAAAGAACAAAAGCTCACATATTTAATATTATAGCAGGTTGTTATTAATAACACCATAATCCGTGTCTTACACGCGTGGGGAATTTTATCCCGAATCCTGAGTAGGGATACGTCAACGCCTAACACGAGTTGCAGGTTAGTTCTTAACCGTAAAAAGAACAAAAGCCCACATATTCAATATTGTGGCAGGTTGTTATTAATAACACCGTAATCCGTGCCTTACACGCGTGGGGAATTTTATCCCGAATCATGAGTAGTGATAAGTCAACGTCTAACACGCGTTGCCGGTTAGTTCTTAACTGTAAAAAAAATAAAAGCCCACATATTCAATATTGTGACAGGTTATTATTAATAACACCGTAATCCGTGTCTTACACGTCCGGGGAAATTTATCCCGAACCCTAAGTAGGGATAAGTCAGCGCCTAATACGCGTTGTCGATTAGTCTTAACCATAAAAAGAACCAAAGCCCACATATTCGACATTGTGGCAGGTTGTTATTCATAACATCATAATCTGTGTCTTATACACGCGGGGAATTTTATCCCGAATCCTAAGCAGGGATAAGTTAACGCCTAATATGCGTTACCGATTTAGTCTTTCACCAGTTGAAGAAGACACCAGAATTCGAGTCTGGGGATTTTTTTTATCCCGAAGCCTAAGTAGGGATAAGTCAGCGCCTAACACGTGTTGCCAGGTAGTCTATTCCTGTGAAAAAGACAAAGTCTACTATTCAATATCGTAGCACTAAAAGAGTTAACTCTTTTAGCATAACGTTACATGCGAAATGCACTTAAACAATCTGCATGCAAGCCCGATTCAAACGGTAATCGGTAAAGGCACGTCAAATCCGTTGAAGGCTGAGGATTTGCCAAAAATCCTAAGTCAGCGTCTAACACGCGTTACCGGGTAGTCTATTCCCGTGAGAAAGACGAAGTCTACGTATTTAATATCGTAGCACTAAAAGGGTTAACTCTTTTAGCACAACGTCACATGCGGAACGGACTTAAAACAATCTGTATGCTAGCCCGACTAAAACGGTAGTCGGTAAAGGCTCATCAAACCCGTTGATGGCTGAGAATTTACCAAAAATTCTATAAATGTGAGTCATTGACACACCAGCTCTGTCAGTTGGTCTTGTGACTCAAACATCCAACCACTTAGGGATAAGATCCATATCTGCAGACGAAACAACTTTAATAGGTTGTCCTGCAGCCCCAAATTTGAGACCGCCACGCTCCAATGCCTTAAGAGCTTAAACTGTGTAAACTCTAGCAAATGTACGAGTATAAACTGTGTTAATGCCGGTCAACGCGTTATAGTAAAGATCGATGCCGGTCAACGTATCATCAATCTCGTTAAAATAAGGCAAACGATGATTTCAGGGAGTTCAATCGGATTTAGATATGAATTTATGATGAAGATGATCATTTCAATGTCAACTCAACGATAAGAGCTAAATTCAGAAACTTACACACCAACTTCAATTCAAGATTTCGACAACGGTCAGACGATAAACGTAGCGCTAGAAGAACTTCATCTATTCAACAAAACACCGAGTAGACTAAAGGTTGAAGAAGTCAAGAATTGAAGCAATGCACAGGTCCCTCTACGAAATTGAGGAAAATGCCTATCTTATCCAAAGCCTTCCAAACTCTTCTATAAAGGAAATGAGTCTGAAATGCTTTGGAGGGGGTATCCGTAGGCGTCTAAAAATACCTATAGGTATCCGTACACAGCTCGAGATGGAGAGAAGACAACGAACGTCATTATCCAAGTCTAAGAGGATTATATGTCGCCGACAAGCGCATGAAACGAATCAGCGAACCGTTGATGACACGACAAGGAACCACCACAACGGCAAGCGTCAAGTAGCTCGCGTGCGTCAATCAACTCGTGCGCCTTAATCAACACGCGCACGTCAATCAGCTCACGGGTCAATCAGCTCGCGTGCGTCAGTCAACACGCGCGCGTTAATCAACTCGCGCACGCCAACATACGCACGCGTATTAATCAACACGTGCGCGTCAATCAACTCGCGCACGCCAACATACGCATGCGCATTAATCAACGCACGCCCAATAATCAACTCGCGCACGTCGGTCAAATCGCGCGCGTCGGTCAAACTCGCGCGCATCGGTCAACTCGCGCGGAGCATACAAGTCAACAAGATGATCAATCACGCAAAACGGGGGAAACTATAAGTCCCGGAAAATCGGAAAAGTCAGGAAACATACAAGTTCGGCAGAAGCGACGGACCCGCGCTAGCGCGGGACAGAATAGACCGACCCGCGCAAGCGCGGGTCGGATTGGATCCGACTCGCGCAAACGCGGGTCGGACTTGATCAAGTCCGACCCGCGCAAGCGAGGGTCGGATCTGTCTGACCCGCGTCGCGCAGTCCGGAGCCCGAAACGCATTTTGACGGTTTTAAAGCGGTTTTCGCAGGATTTGTTGGTTCCTGAGCATCCTAACTGATTTGATATCATCCCCAAACGTAGTTAATCAGTTATAACTAAAAATAAGGAAGAATCATCTATTCTTATCTGAAAACTCCCCAACTGAAGCCTATAAATACAAGCCTAGGGTCTCCTTTCAGCGGGGGGATTAATTATCAAGAGGAGGAGGTGCTGTCAGATTGAGGAGTCAAAGGAGCACGAATTTCAGCAAGGGTTGACAGATCTTGGCGAGTTTTTCGGCATAAAGAAGGAGAGTTCGAGAGATCCGACACCCGTTCTCGTCCGTTCCTCGAGATTAGGCTTGGTCTTAATCTCGAGAAGAGCTACTGATTTCGCTTGGTCGATCTCAACGCTTCAAATCAAATACTTCCTCGGTGAAGGCGAAGGTCTGCCAAATTTTCCATCAACCGAATCCGGATCAAAGGCGGTCCACGGATAAACCCCGGCACAGACAAAAATCTCACGCAAGTAGAAGACCGATAAACGATCTCTGCGTTTGTTTGACGAGAACTGTATTTTTTCGTTTTCATTGTGTAAAAGTCTTATAAAAAGACAATCTTTTTGTTTTCATTGTAGCGACCGAAGTTGTAATGAATACCGCAATAAATACAACAATATTCGACGCAAACAATTATAAATTTAAAAATAAACTTGTTGGCAAGAATTTTTTTCCTAATTTTTTTCTAATGGAAATATAATGTCACCGAATATACTAAAAAGTCTTTCATTCTCAGATAGCTTCTATTTTGTTTTTTTGAGTATTAAATTTCAGAAGTTATTATAATTTGGGTTTTCTAGTCAGTGCCCTAAGGGCTGTGGTTAATAAGAAGGGAGATTAGATACAGAAGGTAAAGAGTGAGCAAGGCTCTACCTTTCCCGCTCATTTTCTATTCACCCACATTTCTCTCTATCTCTCGGGTAAAGATCCTCTTCCTCCTTAATTATAGAGAATTTCTATAATTCATCAATCAAAAATCTTCACTCAGTGACCGCATAATAATTATTTGAATTATATAACAAATTTTAATTTTTGGGCCCACTGAGATTCACAGATAGTATAAGTGGACATAGCTAATTGTAGACTTTATCTACAATCAAGATCGTAAGGAATACAAACCCCTCCTTAACCATTGCTTTTGGTTAGCAAAGTTTATTAGGGACTTCTAACTTTATTTCTGAAATTATTTTTTAATTTTCATAAACTTCTAAATATTTAGGAAGAACTGTTATATTTCATTAATGATGCTCGGTAAGAAGTTAATATAAACATACTTATTTATGAATTAACCAATATTTAGTAACTATCTTAAGATGCAACCTTTAGTTGTAAACTTTTTCCTAAGGATTATTTTATAATTTATAACGATAAAATTGTTTAATTAGGTGAAATATTATGAATAAACTAAGTACTGAAACAATATGCAAATATTTTCACTATTTAAAACCAGTGCAAATTTTTAATTATATGTTTGTCTTTGTCTATAACTATGGTTCTTAATATACTGCTTAGAAAAAGTATACGAAAAAAATCATTTATTACAGTTAATTTAATATACTGCTTAGAAAAAGTATACGAAAAAAAATCATTTATTACAGTTAATTTTATAAAATTGATAATGGTCAAGAAATCAATGATCATGCCCCTTTTTTTACTTTTTATGTAAACATCTATATGAGTACTCATTTGCATTTATAACTTCATTTATCCACTACAAAACTATATAAAAGTAATCGGTTAAACTATTTCATTTTTTTAAATAAGTGCCGCACAGGGCCGTACCTAGGAATTTTGGGGCCCAAGGCGAAATATTAGATGATGCCTAACTGGTACAACTCATAATAGATTTTATCTCATTCTTCTTACCTTTTGAGCTGCAAAATTACTAATTAAAGTTTTATATTCAATATTTTCTAACATATTATTTTCGATAGATAATATTGCTAAACCATTTAATCTATCTTGTAACATGGTCGATCTTAAATAAGATTTTAGTAATTTTAATTTTGAAAAACTTCTTTCAGCGGAAGCAACTGTTACGGGTATAGTCAATAATACACGATAAGCAATACAAGTATTTGGAAAAGAATCTAAACGTTTTATATAGTTCAACACTTCAATTGGACTATTAATCTCTACTTTTAAAATTTCCCTAAGCACTCTCAATTCTGAAAACAAATCAAGTCCATTAATATCTAAATGTTCATCATGTTTTAGTGCATTTTCGAGATTAAGACAATAATCTTTCAATTCAATATCATCTAAAGCTTTTAACTTTTTCAAATCAAACAAAAAACCAAAAAATTTTTCATATGTTTTAAATTGTTCAAACCTACTTTCAATTGAGCCAAGCGATTTATCAACTATGTATAAGAAATATTCAATACGAAAAGATTCTTCAGCGTTAAATATTGTTTCATTACCAATATTTTCATCAAATTGTTTTTTTCTATGAATTTTACGTTTTTCACGAAATATAGGTTGTATGTTCATTTCATTAGCAAGTTCTTTAGTTGAATTCAAAGCAGACATAAAACCATTTTGTCTATAATTTTCTAGATATACAATAAGACCCTTTAATTGATCTATAGCAATAGCAATATGCATATCTTTAGATTGTAAGATTTTACTAACTGAATTAACAGCAAACAATATGTCATACCAAATATTCATAGCTAACAAGAATTCAAAATTTTCAATCTCATAAGTTGCTAAGCAATTAGCTTCACTTTTTATCTTTGGATCTTCACTAATTTCTGCTAATTGAATCAAAGCATCTCTTATATTTGGAGCTTGAAATTTTATTGCTTTAACACTTTCTATCCGACTTTCCCATCTAGTTTGAGATAAAGATTTAACAGATAACTTGCATCCATTATCCTCTAAAATTTTCCATCGTTTAGTAGAGGAAGCAAACAATGAGTATATACGTTGCAACACTCCAAAAAAAGAAATAGCTCTAGGACATGAATTAGCTATATCACATAAGACTAAATTTAAATTATGACAACCACATGGTGTGTAGAATGCTCTAGGATTTATATCTAATAGCCTCTTTTGTACTCCATTGTGTTTTCCTTTCATATTAGATCCATTATCATAACCTTGCCCTCTTATTTCTTTAACATCAAGTTCATATTTTTCCAAAATATTTAAAAGTTCATCAAAAAGGCCTTTTCCCGAAGTATCATCTACTTTTAAAAACTCTAAAAAGTATTCTTCAATCTTTATTGGACTTGTTGAAGTATCAACACATCTTAAAATAAGAGTCATTTGTTCTTGATGACTTGCATCTGGAGTACAATCAAGGATAACTGAAAAATATTTTGCTTCTTTTATTTTTTTAATGATCATTTGTTTAATTTCAGAAGCTAGCAACTCTATTAGTTCATTTTGCATTTTATGACTAAGATAATGATTTTGAATTTCACCTTTTTGAATACGTTTAACATGTTCTTGCATTATGGGATCAAATTCCGCTATCATTTCAACTAAGCTTAAAAAGTTTCCATTATTTTTTTCATATATCTTTTCTTTTGTTCCTCGAAATGCAAGATTATTTTTTGATAGATGTTTTACTATAGCAATAAGTCTTAGCAAAACTTTTTTCCAGTGTTCTTTTTCTTTATTAATTTGTTCTTGAATGTTTTTATCTATTGTCTTATTTTTTTGTAATCTTATTTCTAAATCCACCCACTTACACATATTAGTGATATGTTCATGACTTGTTTCATGACTTTTAATTTTATATCCAAGATTTTTCCAATCTCTAGTACCTTCGTTAACTAACTGACTTGTACTAGATTTTAAACTAAATAATTTGCAACAAAAACAAAAAACTCTATCTAAATCTTTTGAGTAAACTAACCACCTTCTTTCATGTTTTTCTCCATTTGACAATTTTTGTATGTAATATGATGTAGAAAAGTGTCTATTATTTTCATCTTTGGGAAAATCTATTTCTTCATATTTAATTGGACCTTTTTCAACTATTAGATCTATAAAATTTTGATCAATACATTTCCATTGTCCAGGATCATAAATATTTGAATTTGATATCTCATTCATCTCTAAAATTTTTTCTTGGCCCTCATGTGAATTTTCTTTATATTCTTCATTACCATTAGGAGTATTAGCTTTTTCTTCTTGAATATTATTATCATTAATATCATTATTTTGTTCTAAATTCTCAACATATTCTTCTAATTCATTCTCAAGTAAAGAATCATCTATTATTTCTTCTTCTGTTGAAGTTGATGTAATATTATCTTTATTACTAAAAACAAATTTATCAAGAGCTCCTTGTTGAGATCGAATTAATTTTTCAACTCTTTTTCTTTTCTTCAATTTTTGACAACCACTTTCATATTTTCTATTAGGCATGCTTTAAAAATATAAAATACCAAGTAAAAAGATTTCAATGTATATCTACAGTATTTCTATTTCTAATTAACTAATTAAGCATAAAATTAATATGAATAAATGATAAAGAAAATTAAATAGATCGGCGGTTGGGGGCCTGGCCGCCTGGGGCGTTGCCGCGTTGGGCCGCTGGAGAGCGGAGGCGGAGCGCGTCACCGGCGGTCTGGCGGTAGGACTGGAGTGGGGGCGGAGCTTGCTGCTTGCTCAGCTTGGATTGGGTGTTGGAGAGACTGGAGAGAGGGTTTTTGGCTGGGGAGACGAAGAGACTGAGAGAGGAGGCGGCGAATGGGAGAAAAAAATTGGTTTAGGAGATTTTCGTTGGGGCCTAGGTTTTAAACACCTAAATACCTAATATTGGATTTGGGGATGGGGGCCCTACCCAAAACGAGGCCCAAGGCAACTGCCTTAGTTGCCTAAGGGTAGGGCCGGCCCTGGTGCCACAGTTATTTAAACTCAGAATCTTACTACCTACTGCCCTCTGCTTTGCAAAGTTGTTTACATAATTTTTTTACTTCATCGTTATCATTATTTTCTTTCTCACATTACACTATTATATCACTAATTCCTTTAAAAGAAATAGATTTAGATAAATTCTTGTTGAAAATTGCAATAAAAAATTTAGAAATTTCCCTTTGACTTTTGGTGGTTTTGCAGATATCTTTCCTATGTATTTCAATTTCACGAAATTCCCAAACTTTTAGAACTCTTACATATAAATTCTTGAACTTCTTTTGTTCCAATAAAACTGACGAAGATTTTTCAACTTTAACACAATCAGGTTTTAACGTATCTCGTGATAAACATGTGACCAAAAAGAACGAAAATTGCCCTAACCATAAATAAACAAGGGAAAATGTGTCCAAGCCCTAAAAGCAGAAACATCATGTGACGAGGCTCTTTGTATTTTGCCCTATGTGGATAAGCCTCAAATACACACAGCATTTGTGACAAGACCTCAAAGTATCAGATTTCAAAAAAAGCCCAGTGAAAGTTACGAACTTGCCCATTTAATAGGACTAAACTCGGTTATTGTGTCTCTCACCGTTTATTCCCAATTTCTCTATCATTAATCTCATCTCTCTCTCTCACCCCCTCTCTCTCTCAACTTATCCTTCTCTCTCTCTCTCTCTCTCTCTCTCTCTCTCTCTCTCTCTCACTTCTGCCATGGCCACTGAAAATGATCAGGCCCTAGGAAGGTCATGGAAGGCGAAGGTGAGGACGGTGGTCATAGAGTCGGAGATTGGGGACGTGATCAGGCCCGAGGGCGGGGACGTCTGGGATGGGGCTGACTTCCACCAGACCTGGTACTATACCGAGGACAACAACAGGGGGCCCAACGGCGACCCCAGACATCCTTCGCCTCGGCCGACTCCACTCCCCCATCACCGCCCAGAACTAACACAGTTCGACCCCTGATTTTACCCAACTCAGCAGGACCCCGGGAGTCATCTTGGAAACAGCTCATGAACGCGGGTTCAACGAGAAACACGGCCTGGTGGGACCTGCGAGCTGATGGGGCCCAAGCTTTGGTCCAAGGCGCCGTCGTTCTCCCCTTTCTGAGTTACGGAATCTCTTTGCCCAAATCAATGCCTTAATCAAGATAGTGCTCTTGTTTTCTTGTAATTTATGAAGGGAATCGATATTGGGTTTTTGTAGTTTTTCTCTTTCATTTAATTGAAATGGGATCTCTTTGGATTCTTGAACAACGGTTTGGGTTTTTCTTTAATGCCTTTTTCTTGTGATTAAAAGTCGACTAAAGTCGACTAAAGAATCTAAGAAGTTGTGAATTTAAAAAACGGACAAGGAAAATTAGAACTAAACACGAACTGTGTATTAGAACTAAACACGAACTGTGTTAGTTCTAACTCGGTACATGTTTGTTCTAACATGAACTGTGTTAGTTCTAACTCGGTTCATGTTAGTTCTAGCTGTGTATTAGAGCTAAACATGAACTGTGTTAGTTCTAACTCGGTTCATGTTAGTTCTAACACAAACTATGTTAGTTCTAACTTAGTTCATGTTAGTTCTACTTGTGTATTTGAACTAACACCAAAACCCACACACACCCCTACACCCACCACGGCCCCACCCTGCAGTCGAACCGCTCCATCGAGGTCGTCGCCGACATCAAACTCAACCACAACGACATCGCCGGGTACCTTCCCGAGGAGCTCAACCTCCTGAGGGACCTGCGGCACGATCCCTTGGACCTTCGAGAGGATGAGGTTACCCTTCAAGCTCAACCTGAGCAACAATCGGTTCGCCAGTAAGTTCCCTAGGGTCGAGTCACATACATCACTATGAATTAATTCGAGAGGTTCGGAGTTTCTAGTTATAAACTTGAAAGGTTTTTTAGTGTGTTCCCTTTATTAGTGTGTTTCTCTTGAACACATATTTCACACTTAGATGAGGGATCAAGAGAAGATTTGGAAATAAGGTTCAATTTAATCATTCTCTGTAAGGTTTGGAAATTGACATATCCAAGTCGTTGATACGAGTCGCCGTGCGAGCACCCTTGATCGTGGAATTATCAAGAGTGGGTTGCGAAGAAAATAACAGAAGAATACACAAAGGAGTTGATTTAGGCAAAGGAAAATACCTTCTCTAGATTATGAGAATTAATAGATTATAAATCTCTCTCTCACAATCTCTCTAGATCAAAGAACAACCTCCCTGATCTCTTTTCTGATTACAATTTGGTTTGTCAACCCTAGGAAAGTCGTGTTTCTATTTATATCAAATAAAAATCCTAAATAGTGTAGGAAACTAGGCCCATGCCCAAAACTACGTCGCGGTCGACCGCGATGGTCGACCGGGAAAGTATCACGGTCGACCGTGGCTGATTCGCGGTCGATCGAACCAAAACCCGAGAACAGTTTTGATTACAGTCATAGCGCGGTTGACCGAGATCTTGCGGTCGACCGCAACAGTCGACCGCCTTCAGATCCAGCTCCTCCTGAGCTTCATGCATGTTCGCGATCGACCGTGGCTAATTCGCGGTCAACCGCAGAAGAACCAGCAGCCTTCTTCCTGTTATTTCTTGCACTCTTTGACGTTGCCGCCCCTGACGACTTCTTCAATGTCTCTATTCTTAAGATACCATAAGAATCGTCTATCCTCACACTCCTGATGAGGATCGTTAAGTTCCCGAAGTAAGGAAGAAGATATACATGTATCAGTCATCCATGCCAAACATTACAAGACTCAATAATTTGTGCAACAGAAGACTCGGGAATTTTATTAGAATTGGAATTGATTACATTGAGTTTGAAAAGATCATTACAGATAAAACTTTTTCCAATGAATACATTATTCTTGGTAATCACAAACTTATTTGATTCCTTTATAATCCTAAAGCCAGCTCTAAGAAGAAGAGATTCACTGATCAAGTTGCGATAGAGAGAAGGAACATGATGAACGCCTTGCAGATTCAGAGCTTTTCTAGAGGTCATGGTAAGCTCTATACATCCACTTCCCGATATTTGTTTGGTGGAGTCATCTGCTAAGCTTATACTTCCTCCACATGAAACCTAATAAGTTAAAAACTAAGAGCAATCATTACAAACATGAATATTCACTCCGGAATCTAAGTACCAGTCTGTGGAAGAAGTAAGGGAATTAACAAGATAAGATGATGAGGCTAACTTGAAGGAAGTTGGATTCTCTTCAATCATATTAACTTTGTTGGATCCATTTCCTTTAGGAGCAGCTTTGGCCGGTTCCTACTTCCGAAAGAAACAGTTGGGAGCCAGGTGGTTGGTTCTACCATAAACATAGCAGAAATTTCCATCAGACTTATGCCTAGAAGGATTGGGATTGGATTTGAATGAAGATTTGTTGAAGGATTGCTGGTTTTTCTTGAATTTTTTCTTTTTCGGTTGAATTTGGATCACATCAACTGAGATCGCAGTTTAACTTCCCCTAAAAAAGAGTAAATTTTGAGTTGAATTTTTTTAAATAAAAATTATTAACTGACTCAGTGAGTACAGTTGAGGAAAGTACTGAGTCCTTCCTGAAGTTGCCCAGATTGTCATGTGATCCTTTTTTCTGAAAATTGGATTGTAGAAAGTAAAGGTTTTAGTTCAGGGACGAGAGATTCTAATGAGTTGAAGGTTGTTTTGGCATCTCAAAGATAAATATTTTGGCATTTCAAAGGTAAATATGCAACCTATCTATGTTTTAGCATCCCATATATAATAGTTTCCCCAAGATTATGGTTTCCCAAGTATCTGCAACTATAAAACTATATATCAGCACCATACCTTCCATCTTAATTAGGTAAAATTGTCTGTGCATTTGTGTTACTTAATTTCTGACTATATTTTATCTATACTGCATTTTCTTTTTCTGCAGTGGTTGCAGTATCTGATGGTCAAAAAACGTGGGAGATAGTAAGGGAAAGGCCTGGTAGTATCAATGTAGTTCTCGTTGAAGTTGAGGTCCCGTCGATCTCGGGAACTAGCCTCCTTTCCATGATAATGGATCATGAGGGCTGCAAGCACATTCCTGTGATAAGTATGATACCATGTCTCTTGAAATTATTCCAAGAGAAACATATACTTGCTGGTGTTCTGCAATCTCATCTTTTTGTGTGTGTGTGTGTGTGTGTCATATATGCAGTGATGTCCTTCAATAACTCTGTCAACATAGTTTTCAACTGCATGCTGAAAGGCGCGGCAGACTTCCTCATGAAGCCTGTCCGTAAAAATGAGCTGAGGAACTTGTGGCAGCACGTTTGGAGGAGACAAACTGTATGTTGCCTTCAACCTTCAACCTTATGTGTAACTATTTTAGGGATAATTGCACTTAAGACCCCAGTGACAGTGTCAGGAATTCAAAATAGTGGTGTCGCAGTATATATAAAAGACGATATTACTAATTTTCTCTCATATAAATACATAATAGGAAAACTTAATAATAAGATACAGAAGATATATTTAACTTTAATGAGATATATTCTCAAAAAGTACAACTACATTGTTGCAATTCACCCCCAAGTGTCATCATATTATGAAATTGTTGCATTATAGCCTCTTTCGAAATACTACTACATACATATTTTTCAATATTAGTTGCTGAGTCATTGTTCATCCATTGATCTCACATTCAATTTCGCATATGATTCTTTATAATTTCTGTTGTAACGACCTCTCTCTGTAGCTTCATAAACACCAGGCGATAGACCTACACCTACTTAATTGTTCATTTTACATTCTTAAAATGGGTTCTTGGGATTGGGTCATCGAAGGCTTGGCCCATTAGGGGTGATTCTCAAATGAACTACTACTCACTACTTACTTCTAGTGTAGTGTCATTAATAAGTGATAATCTGGTTTATACTAGGTTATTTTTTGATATAAGGTGGTATCACTTGATACCATCCTCTATAGGGTATCTCCGCGGGTGATAGGCCCCCTCTAGTATTGTTGCAGATATTAGTCCCCCCACCCCCACCCCCACCCCCACCCCCACCCACAAAAAAAAAGCACGCCACGTTAAATCCTCTCGATTCTTTTACACTCGGACTCATTATTTACGTCGAGGATATAAGAGTTGAAAAAAGGGACCATCTGGAACAAAACAATGAAACTACAATACCCGCAAGTTCAAAATAGTTATACTACAGGGGATGCATCCGCAATTGAGCCCTAACTATTAAGTAAACTCATGAAGTACTTATCGCTCTTGTTATATTTTGGTATTGCTAATCACCGTCTTTTATAACTTTTCCAGTTAAATGATGGCATTGGCAATAAAGGTGTTCACCAAGATGATAATGCAATGAAAACATTTGAAGATAATCCTCGAAAAGCAAAGCAACTAGTGGTGGATCAGTACCTCCAATGCATATCAATAAAGAAGACGGTGAGAAAGGGAGTGATGCCAAAGTAAGTTCTCTCAATTTTGTTATTTTACAAGGAAATAGCTTCCACACATAAGCTTGTTTTCCACATAAATATATATTGTTAGAAGAAACAATGACTTTGAGTAAAAGCTAAGCTTTGATTAGAAAGTACGGGACAGAGTTTGTTATGTTTGATACACTGCTCCTAATTAGCTTATTCTTTCGTGTCATGTTTCTGATTAGTTATATTGTAGTGCAGAGTTCTTGTACAAAGTCAGATGTGGAAGTAGAGAGCGTGTGCAAACAAAGTAACATATATAGAGCCTCAGCGGAGAACATGCAAGGATTCTTCTCATATAATTGAGACTATATGTCAGAATGATGAATGAAAGTTTGGATGAAATGCTGAAGGTACTGTTCTTCATATATTTCCTGTCAATATTTTATATTACCATTGCTATTTACAAAATTTAATGTGTGGCATTTGTTATGTTGGTTTCAGAATTTGCACCTCTCAATGGGGCATGCGTCACAAATGATCAATTGATCGTAGAAGAGTAATCTTGTGCGCTCGTAGATACTGCAACTCAAAAGCAACTCATCAATTTGATCAGCACAATAGATAATCAGCAAGGTTGTAGTTATGAGCCAAGGGAAAATAGTGCAAAAAATGATAACCTTTATTATACTCAAGAAGTTGTATCGCTGTAGTTATGAGCCAAGGGAAAATAGTGCAAAAAATGATAACCTTTATTATACTCAAGAAGTTGTATCGTGTGATGAGGAGTTCAGCTGCAGCCCACTTTATTATACTCAAGAAGTTGTATCGTGTGATGAGGAGTTCAGCTGCAGCCCAGATTCTACACCTTTACAGGAGCTGTCATTGAGTAGATACAATCATAGTCAAGTTGAAAAGAAAGAGAAGAATGAATGCAGGATTCTGAACCATTCGAGTTCTTCAGCCTTTTCACTGTGAGTGCAGTTTTATTTGTATAAGTATTCATTTACATGTTTAGAGATGTTTTATTTTACTAAAATTTAGTTTTTTACTAATATTCAAGTAATATAGTGGGTTAATTTGCATTTTATTTTTATAACTACACGGTCATGGTCCTCAGATGCAAACATATCACTGCAACTCTACAAATCTCTTTGAATAATTGGGATACTTATTGATTTCATTGATATATTTGGAATATATTTTTCTTCCTGCAGGTATGATAGCAGGATACCAGTATCTACTTTTCTAGAAACTAGCAACTTAGAAACTCAGTATGAAGAAAATTACAGTCCTTTGGTGATGCTGGTGCTGGTGATGACGATGATTAGAGATGAAAGATTGTCTTTCCTAAACTTTTATTTTAATTTGTTTTAGATAGTTTCATGTATTTTTCTTTGGAACAATTAGGATATTAACTCTTGTTATTAGTATTGAATATTTGAGGATGATGGAATTTTATTTATTGATGTTATTAATGAATGAAATTTTTATTTTTCCTCTTATTCATTATTGGGTATTTTTAATATATTTTTATTGTGAATCTTAGTGTCAGGTTGAGAATAATATGATAGTTGCCTATGAATGGAAAATTTATTATTAATGTATATTAGAAATTTGTAGTCTACAATGACGGTTTTATAAATCGTATTTTGTTCATCAACGAAAGGAAATCACCGTCGTTGATGGGGTTACTAATTACCCATTATGATGATTTTTTACGACGGTATCCAACCGTCATTAATTAGTCTTCAACGATGGGAAAATATCCCCGTAACTAATGATAACGATGGAAAAATATCTCCGTAACTAATGGTAACGACGGAAAAATATCCCGTCACTTATGGTAACGACGGGAAAATATCTCCGTCATTGATGGTAACGACGGTAATAATTACCGTAGTAAATATAAATGACGGTAATATGATCCATCGTTATAGACTCTATAACGACGGGTAGTATATCCCTTCGTGACCCTTTAGCGAAGAGGGCTTCAACAACGGGTGACGAAGGGATTTTTTCCCGTCGTTAACATACAATAACGAAGGTTTTCATATCTTTAACGAAGGGAAACCCCTTCGTTAAAGATGTAATTTCTTGTAGTGTCAAGAGTTTCTATGGTAGATAGAAGACCTAAAGTGGTGAGCTAGTATGTCATCTAATTAGCCCACCATTTATAGTTAACACCGGCGAACTTCTCAGATTTGACACTCTTGGAATGATCAGAGTTATATATATAATCGTCAAAAATATTAATCTTTGTCTATAGTGGTCATCTTCCTTCAAAGATTTTCTAGTATAGATATGATTAAAAATACATATAATTAGAACCAATATCACGACATTGAAAGCTACTTTTTAGGAGTACCTACCTTCACTTTAACTACAGTTGCCTCCAAATACAAAATACTCGTTTCGTAATCGTTTCCCAATTAACTGCCATCAAAAGCCTATAAATAGAGACCAAAGTGACCCCAAAGCTCTCCCATGATGTACCCAAAATTGAAATGGACGCAACTCTCTTTTCCTTCTCTTCCTCCATTCGATCTGCTAAACTCTCCACAAACCCGACCCGTTACCCAACCGTATCGAATCAGTTCCACCTCCGGAAGAATCTGGTAAAGGTCCGATCCGCTTCGAAACAAGACGGATATGGATATGAATACGGATTGGTCGACCAGAACATGATAGTTCTCCGGAAACGGATGGAGGAGCTGCGGATGACCGAAAGACTAGACCAGGATCCGACTGAGGAGTGGACGGAGTGGGAGAAGAACTATTATCGGAGCTGTTACGTGTCGGATGTTTGCCAAGCTGTCGGGTTGATCCAAATGTTCGCGATGAGCGTGAGGCCAGGTGTCGCATTGGGATTGGTGGGCCTGATTCTTTTGAGTGTGCCAGTTTCTGTGATTTTGATTGCGATTCATTTGTGTAAACTCAGGGTTGCTTATTAATTGAGATTTTGCTTTACGAAGCGGAAATAATTTTTATTATGCATAATCTATCTTGTTTTTTCTTGATTTAATTATGTGGGAAATGTTTGTGTTTTGATAAATTTGACCAATTCGGTAAGAATAAAGTCTTAGAGCATCTCCAACAGCTTCTCCATTTTCTACTTTTGGAGAATTTAGTTAGATTTTTGGTCTAACAGATTCTTCATCTCATTCCCCAAAATAGGGATGGAGGAGAAAAAATGGGGAAGCTTCCCCAAATCTGCAGCATTCTCCAAATTTTTAGATGAAAAAAAAGATTCTTCAAAATGGGAAAGTTGTTGGAGTTTGTGTAAAAATAATTTGGAGAATATGACTTTTGCTTTCCTATTTTGGAGAAAATTTTGAAGAAGCTGTTGGAGATGCCATTAGCACCTAAATTTTGTTATAGCGTAATCTTATATTCTTTTCCTTCCCATATTCGACTAAATTCATGAAATTAAGAAGTGCAGAGAGGGAGTATTTATTGAACCGTTGTTAAAAAAATTTATATCAAAAAAGTTTGCTGGTAAAAAAAGTTAAAGTTTGAAAAAATTTTAGAGTGTATTTTGCAATTTACCTCAAAGAGCTTATTCTCTGGGCTCAATGTGGCAAGACCGGGATAAAGGGACATGATTGACTAGTTGATACACATAATTAGATCTGTCATAGTAAAGCTCAAGCTAATAAATTTCACAAAACCCCCTCTTAGTGAGGTTGATTTTCAGATAATCCCAGTAAACTTTAAGCAAGTAACCTAATGCCCCTTAAGTTATTGGAGTTTCGTACGTTAAGACCCCTCAAACATTAATTTCACCACCCAAAAAAAAAAACTTCGTTAGATGTACTGGCAAAAAAAAAATATCTAATCAGTAAATTAAATCATTAACTATTTTAGTAAATTTCTAAATTGTACAAACTCAAGGGCGTATTGTTGAAACTTACCTTGAAATTATTAATAGGAAGGAAAGGGATTTTGTCCATCGATCAAAGAAACTTTGATCATTTCAACGTACGTGATTTTTCACACGCATGGTCAGATCTGACATCACTAACTAGAAAGGGTTCGTACATGATTTTTGTAAAGGTCAGTGGGGTATAAATCATCTCACAGGCGGCCAAACATAAAGGGGGTTGCGTGAAATTTTACCCAAGCGCATCACGAAAATATACCAACCGCAAAGTTAAAAATACTGTAGACGTATCCTTTTCTGATCTTATCCTATTCTCACTAGTGGAAAGCAAGAAGATTTATGCGAATATTTACTGTGGTTATTATGTACGAAGTGGGGGGACAGGGACCAGATAATTTCGAGTCTTTACGGTTTCAAAACTTGCCATCATATCCAACATCTAGAGAGTGCTTGCGGTAGACACTGTTCCCCTTGACTTGCAATTAATCGCTGTCTTTAGAGCTCCTTTTGATGTAAAGCGAGTCTCTTGCATATCCACCGACTACAGTGTTTTCTTTCGAAGGATATTTCCCTTTTTGAGCCGCCGTTGTTGAAAATATTTCAGGTTCCATGCAAACCTGCCCTCCAGAACAAACTGTTGCAGATCCGCGAGGTAAAGAGCAGCTCCAACGGGGCTGCAAAATGGACGGGGCTGCAAAACTCCATTTTGCAGCCCCGAAGCCCTCCAATTGGGCTGCATCTCCGGCTGCATTTTACAGCCGGAGAAAATGGGGCTGCATTTATGCAGCCTCTACCCTCATTTTGCAGTTTGCTGCAAATGAACTATGCATTTTTCTTAAATGCCAAGTTTGCCCTTTTTTTTATTTATAAACCAATACTTATTACATCCATATCCTTTTTAATTAGTAACTACTAATTTAAAATCAACATAAGTTTGTTTCTACTAATTATTGTTAAATAAAAATTTTACAGTTGGAAATGTTTATCGATACCTTCAAAATGAGACTAATATTGAATAATATTAATTGAAATATAAAATTTCAAGAACCAAGTAATTAAAAATGAAAAGTCATTATTTTATTATTAAAAAAAGATACATCGCTTCATTTCCATGTCTTTCCCACAAATGTTCAATCAATGCATTTCGAAGTGCAAAATGAGCTTCTTTGTTTTTCAATCTCTTATGTCGAGCAAGGAACCGTTGGAATCGTTCAATTTCCGTTATCTCCATATTTTCAGCATTCGGAATTGATTGTGGAGTTGAAATGACAACATCTTCTTGCTCGTCGCGTTCATCTTCGACAATCATATTGTGCATTATAATACAAGCAGTCATGATATCATGCAGAGTTCGTTTATCCCAAAAACGGGTTGGCCCCTTGATGATAACAAATCGTGATTGGAGAACACCAAATGCCCGCTCCACATCTTTTCGACATGCTTCTTGCATCATAGCAAAATATTGTTTTTTTATCATCGGAATTAGAAATGGTCAGAACAAGTGTTGGCTATTTCGGATATATGTCATCGGCCAAATAATAACCGACATCATAATTTTTTCCGTGAATTGTGTAATGAGCAGGAGGAGCAATACCTTGTGATAGATTGTCGAACAAATTAGACGACTGCAATACATTAATATTGTTATTGGATCCTGGTAAGCCAAAGTATGCATATCATATCCATAGATCATATGATGCTACTGCCTCAAGAATAATGGTTGGACCTCCATGACGGCCTCAGTATTGTCTTGGTCATGCTGTTAGACAATTTTTCCATTGCCAATGCATATTGTCTAGACTTCCTAACATTCCTGGAAAACCTCTTTCTTCGCCCTTTTGCAATAACCTTGCAACATCGTCGACATTGGGGGTCCTTAGATATTCATCTCCATATACAATTGCTCTACAAAATCTCTTTAAACATATAATTGTAGTTGACTCACCGCTCCTAACATATTCATCAGTACTATCTGCTGATGTTCCATACGCCAACATGTGAAATGCCAATGTAACTTTTTGTAAAGTTGATAGCCCAAGTTTGCTGACACCATCCATCTTCTGTACAGAGAAGTTGTCATGCTCACGTACCGCCTCGACTATACGAAGGAATAAACTCCTGTGCATCCGGAACCTTCTACGGAATAGGTTTGCACCATATGTAGGGTCATCAAAAAAATAGTCATGGTAAAGTCAAGAATTACCTTCTTCCCTCCCGCGATTGATCACCAAATGACCAGGAACTGAGCCAATACGCTTTGGCCGCTCTACCTCTTGAGAGAGATAAGTCATTATTTTATTATTAGAGGTATATACGCGAGCTAAGAGTTCATCTTCCTTCTCCCATTGTGTCATATCTTCCTCCCAATCTTTAATGTATTGAGAAAATATTTCGTCGTCAGAAGAAGAAAAAGAAGGTAGATGTGACGGTCCGGCTCCATAGTTCATTGATGAAGAAGTTATTTATAGAAATAAAAATATAAGTTGTGAGTTGTTTAGAGATGGATGTAATGTCATTATATAATATTCCTCCCCACATAGGATTCTTTTCAGTATTGGATTCTCTCCAGCATTGGATTATCTTTGTGTTGGATTCTCCCCCACATTGGATTCCTTCCGTGTTGGAGACTCCCCATATTGGATTCCTTTCGTATTGGAGACTCCTCATATTGGATTCTCCTGATGTTGGAGACTCCCTACATTGGATTCTCGATGTTAGAGACTCCCCATGTTGGATTCTTCTGGTGTTGGAGACTCCCCACATTAGATTCTCCTAGTGTTGAAGACTCTCCACATTGGATTCCTGGTGTTAGAGACTCCCCATATTAGATTCTCGGTATTAGAGACTCCCCATGTTGGATTCTTCTGGTGTTGGAGACTACCCACATTGGATTCTCCTAGTGTTGGAGACTACCCACATTGGATTCCTGGTATTGGAGACTCCCCATATTGGATTCTCCTGGTGTTGGAGACTCCCCACATCTGATCCCTATATAATACTTGAATAATTTTTATATATCCACCACAACTCTTCTTATTCTATATTCATAACTCTTTACATTCCTCCATCATAATAGTATCATCCTCAACAATGTTATCTCCTTAGATTATGGCATCTAGTCACGGAAAATCTTTTTACAAGAAGAAGACCAAATTTTATGCGCTACGTGGCTCGAAATTTCTCAAGACCCAGTCATGGGTTCTAATCAAAAGAAGGACAAGCTGTGGGAACGAATTTCTGCTTTATTTCATGAAAGGATTTCTAATATTGGTAATTCTCAAAGGACTCTGAAGTCTCTCTCATGCCGATTGCAATTAATTATGAAGGCTATCAGTAAATTTCGAGGATGCATTAGACAAGTCGAGCGCCTGAATCCAAGCGGTGCTTCTGAGCTTGACATTGTAAGTATTTTGAATAACATAAATCTTGATTATCATCTATTATCTTGTTATTAATAAATGTTTCTTCCTCTCTTGTGGTAGAATAAACGTACTAGGATAATATTTGCAGAAGATCCAGAAGAGAGAAAGGGGTTTCTATTTGATCATGTTTGGTCAATTTTAAAAGATGCAGAGAAATGGGCAAATATAAGTGTCAGATCGCCTGCAACTTTCAAAAATTTAAAGTCCCGCTCATCTCAGGGATTAGGTTCAAGTTCTTATGTCGTCGACTTAAATGACGATAATGAGGGATATACTCATAATGACGATAATATGATAACAAGTCGACCGACAGGAAGGAAGAAAGAGAAGATGAGGAGGCGACAAGCATCTGAAAAGAACCTCGACTTTGAAACTCTCAATAAAAGCAATTAAGAAATTGTCGATATTTAAAAAAAAGAGTCATGTACAACGAGAAAATGATAGAATGACAATGCACCAGATTATGATGTTAAGGGTTGCAAACGATAAGAAAAAATTAGATCTGCAAAGGGAACGACAGGAAAGTAAAATTATGTTAATTAATCTTGATACTATTACTGATCCTTCAGAACGCGAGTATTTTCAAATTAAAAAACAAGAGATTTTAAATAGAAACACAACTAGAGGTTCTTCATCTGATATTCCTAATCCTAAATATAGTTATGCAGGAAGTCAATACGGAATACCTGACTACAGAAGCGGTGGATATGGAGGAAATGACCTATCCGATTTTTAGTTTTTCTCATATACTTTATTTTTCTATGTAATGCCGCTGAATGTAATATATAAAATTTCATCCTTCGGAGTAGTTATGAAGGTTGTTCCAAATATTATGCTATATTTTCTGGTTTTTAAAATTTGAAGGCTCTTATCTATGTCTTATAATCAATTTATTAAAGATAATTAATTTTATTTAAATAATGAGTATATTATATATTATAATTTTAGTATTACTTTATAATATATTTTATATTTTAAATTAATTCATATAATTTTTTTAATATTTTATATTTTTATATTTTTAAATACATTTAAAGTATTATAAAAGTAATCAATTGAAAATATAAATGGAGCTTCATATAGAGGGTGGTGGTTGGAGTACCCACCCCCCTCTAAAAAAGAATATTCAAGAGAATATTCTTTGGGGAGGCTGCATTTTGCAGCCTCCCCATTGGAGTTGCTCTGAAGAACGGAGAGGGAGAAAAACAGTGAAACACTTACAAAGATGAGGAAGTTTGATTAGGTTTAGCAATCAATGTGATTAATTATTTACGTACTACCACACGACGGCGGAAGCGTGTGTACAAACCAAACGAGTCGTCGAGCAATGAGAGGAGAACAACTAACGAGTGCAATTCACAAAAGAACGGCCAAAATCACACAGAAACACAGAGATTTACGTGGTTAGGCAAATTGATGTTGGATATCTTAACCCCAAGATATGTTTGTTTTGATAATAACAAATATTATATGTTGTGTGTATTTTGTGCTAACATATATTTTGTAGTATCAGAGCAAAATCAACAATGATATTCAAAGAGATACTCAAGACACAAGGCAATACAAGGAAGTTGAAGTTGATACAAGGCTAATTAGAGATGAAAGAAATCAAGATGCTTCAATGATATAATTGTATTTTGGGTTTTCTTTCATTGGGTAGAATCTTTGTTAAAATTCTTGATCAGCTAAACACTCATAATTTCATAGAAATAATATTAGATTTTATTAACCCTGATTAATAGACTAATAGAAAGTCTAATAGACTAATTCTGCCAAAATTAGTAATTTCCTTTATCTTATTATCAGTAGTCGACTACTCTCCTTAATAGTCGACTACTCATTCTCAGTTTCAACTTACAAAAACTTAAGTTTTACAATACAGTCGACTAATGTCTTTAGTAGTAGACTACTAACCTGTTTCTTGACTTCACAGAGTCTAAATAGACTCAGTGTAGTCGACTACTAAGCCTTGTAGTCGACTACAAAGACAGTTTTTCTAATTGTTCCTAAATAGACTCAGTGTAGTCGACTACTAAGCCTTGTAGTCGACTACAAAGACAGTTTTTCTAATTGTTCTGAATTTGAATTAGTGATCATTTATAGCCAGCCTTGTAGTCGACTACAAAGACAGTTTTTCTAATTGTTCTGAATTTGAATTAGTGATCATTTATAGCCATTTGTAAACATTAATTTGGTTTAAATTTTGAATATTTCTAAGGCTATAAATAGGTTAGAACATCAGAATTTGATGAGTGACATTAGTACATACAAGATTCAAATTTTGATCAAATTCATTTTCTCTTTATGCAAATTCTCATTTAAATTGTCAAGAAAAAAATTCTGAGATTGCCTTTGTTCTCCATTATTACTAGAAATTGTTTAGGCAATTTTCCAGAGAGTTTAAATTCCTAAGCCACAGCTGCACTTCACATTCACATCAATGCTTATAGGATCAGTTTTGTACTTTGCTTCAAAGGAAGGTTATCTCTGGTTAGAGAGATAAGATCTCTTGGTTTAGAGATTGGTTGTAATTAGCATGGTCTTGTCAATTTGTCAGTATCTATGTTGCCATAGATTAGCGATCCTACAATTGGTATTAGAGAGAGGTGAAAGATGGCAACAACAACATCACAATTCAAGGAAGGACACTCAACATAACGACCTCCGCTCTTTGATGGTTCCAACTACAACTATTGGAAGTTCAGAATGAAGATCTATCTACAATCCATCGACTACGAGTTATGGAACATCGTTGAGTCACCGCATGAGAATCCAACCACACCATATGCTGAATGGACTCGAGTTCAAAAGAATGCTGCAAATCAGAACTCTAAGGCAATGGACGCTTTATTTTGTGCATTGGACAAGAATGAATTCACCCGCGTGTCTACTTCCACTTCAGCCCATCAAATTTGGCATACATTAGAGGTAACACGCGAAGGTACAAATAAAGTTAAAGAATCTAAAATCTCTGTTCTTGTACACAAGTTTGAATTATTCAAAATGAAGGAACATGAGACGATCTCTGAAAAGATCACAAGATTCACCGACATCACTAACTCTCTAATTTCTCTTGGAAAAGAATATACACAATTGGAGATAGTGAAAAAAGTACTTTGTGCACTCACACCGAAATGGGAGAAGAAGACGATAGCAATTGAGGAAGCCAATGATCTCTCAACACTCACTCTAGAAAATCTCGTTGGGAATCTAATGCTATATGAAGTACAACTTCAAGATAGAAGGAAGAGAGAACAACCAGAGAAGAAACTATTTGCTTTCAATACTTCATCCGACACAGACAATTCAGATGATGATGATGAAGACATTGACGCACTTTTAAGGAAATTTAAAAAGTTCCTTATACAAAGTAAGTATAAAAAAGTTAAAGATACTAACGATAATATTATTTGTTATAAGTGTAACAAAATAGGTCATATGAAGAAACATTGTCCTCTTCTCAAGTCCAAATTCAAGAACAAATCTGAACATTTCAAGAAGAAGAAGAAAGGATTGGCAGTCAATTGGGATGACAGCGATGCATCTTCATCCAATGAAGAAGAAGAAACGGACAAGGAAGTGACAAACATGTGTTTTATGGCTCTAGAAGATGAGGTATGTGATAATTTTAATAAAGATGAATTATTGAATGCTTTCAATGAATTGTTTTTCAGATTTAAAAAGGAAAAAGTGAAAAACAAGTTTTTGAAAAAGGAAAATGAGAAATTATTTGAAGAAAATTCTTTTCTTAAAATAGAAATATCTTCTTTAAATTCTCGTATTTCAAATTTGAAAAATAATATTGCATCTTTTAAAATCAAGTATGAAGATAATTTGAAAAATGTTTCAAATTTCAATAAAGGAAAAGAGAATTTGAATGACATATTATCTCACCAACGGCTTTCTAATAATTATTTTGGACTTGGATTTGTTAAAAAAAACAATAGTTTGAAGACTAATTTATATAAGAATAGTCATTCATTTGCAAAGAATATACATGCTAGGAATAAATATATTTGGGTTCCTAAACATTTGAATTCTCATAATAAGGATGTTTATACTGAATCCTACATGAATGATGTTTGTTATTCTAAAGATTATTTGTATACTAACAAATGGAAACCAAATTCCAAATGGGTTTGGATTTTCAAAGGCTAATCCTTTCGGACTCAAATAAAAGTGGGTACCACAAGAAAATTGTTTATATTTCAGGTACTCAAAAGGGTAAAGGATACAAGATATGCCTATATATATCTTGTGAAAATGACGAAGGAATTATGAAAAATGTGAAAAATAACCCAAAACAGACTCCACCACACCCTGGTGTGGTGTCTGTCATGGGTGTGGCAGAATCTGTCCTGTCTGTCATGGGTATGGTGTCTGCCACACCCTGGTGTGACAGAATCTGTCCTGTTTGTCATGGGTGTGGTGTGTGCCACAGCAGGGTGTGGCAGACTCGTTTTTAGAATCCTAATCTATTTGGGATTGTATTTTGTTATAAATAGAACCATGTTTTTTAGGGTTTTTTAAAGAGAGAAAAGGAGAGAATTAGCATTGTTTTGAGTACTTTGAGAGGGAGATATTGTGAGGGAGTTGAGAGCTTTAGTTAGGGTTATATTTGAGTAATTTTGTGAGTTGTAACCCATTGTATTTCTCATCCATATAGCGAAATCTCTCCATCCTCTCCCCGTGGACGTAGGCAATTGCCGAACCACGTAAATTCCTGTGCTTGTTTGTGATTTTGGTCGTTATTTTGTGAATTGCACTCGTGTTTGGTTTTGGTTTTCTTCTCTCATCGCTCACCGACTCGTTTGATTGTCGAGCACGCTTCTGCACGGTGCGCAACAAGTGGTATCAGAGCTCAGATTTTAAATCTAGGGTTTTGGATTAGGTAGAGGAAGATTCAGTTGGAAGCTTGGTTCTTGGAGTTCTAGGCTTTGGTGGAGTTAGGGTTTAAAGTTGCGGAGGAAGATTCAGTTGGAAGCTTGGTTCTTGGAGTTCTAGGCTTTGGTGGAGTTAGGGTTTAAAGTTGCCGTTGAAGATCTCGCTTTCCTCGTGTGGTTAGGAGTTCTATTTGGAATCCAATATAGGGTTCAGTTGAGTAACTTCTAAATTCTATAAAGTTTGAATCTTTCTTTGTAATTTGGAGTTTGTGATTATGGGTGAAGAAGTTAGTGAAAGCAGCAAGATGACGAATACAGTTCATGTGAGTTTTCAGAACACTAAGATTAGTGTAGTGAAATATGACGGCAAAATTAATTTTGGTTTGTGGATGAGTGACGTACAAGATGCGCTCAATGCTCAAAATTTAGAGGAGACCATCATGATCGATGTGAGGCCACCTAAATATGAAGAGGCGGTATGGGAAAAGATAAATAGGAACGCTTGTGGGG